AAAATAATAAACAGCATTAATATAATTATAAGAATCATTAATAATTTATTAATTGCATAAAATAATTTTAAAATGTTAGAGTTATCAATATTTATCACTTTCATCAACGCCCTAAATATGCTTAAATTATCAAACATCATAAAATGTAGCGCCTAAGTTAATGATTTATATCAGTAATAGTGGCAATTCCTTTATAACAAAATAATATTAAACGACATTAATGTAATTATTAAAACATATTATATAATTTTCAAACATCATCTAATATAAATTACGTTCAAGATAGAATATGGAAAAAATCTTTTTTTGTTTAGCTTAAGACATGTACCATGTAGCAATTTACTGTTGCTTTATAAAACATTTATTCAGTCAAGTAATAATTATGGTTTAAAAGTTTGGGGCAGCATTTATAAATCCCATATACATCCAATTTTAATTCAAGATAGAATATGGAAAAAATCTTTTTTGTTTAGCTTAAGACATGTTGTACCATGTAGCAATTTACTGTTGCTTTATAAAACATTTATTCAGTCAAGTAATAATTATGGTTTAAAAGTTTGGGGCAGCATTTATAAATCCCATATACATCCAATTTTACTTGTTCAAAAGACGTGCCTTACATGTGTTACTCTCTCTGACTTTAAAGGTGACCGTCTTCTCCAATATTTAAACAGCTTGGTATCTTAGATATTTACAAACTATTTGAATTGAGCATTGTTACGGTACTTTCGTTTTCGATTTAGTTAACAGAAAGCTTCCGCATGTGACTAATGAATATTTTAATTATGTTACCCATGACATAAACACTAGATTTATTAACCGATTAAATTTTGCCATTCCAAAATCCTGTATAGATGCTGGAAAATTTAGAATTTTTTTTTTTTGTAGTTCACAACTCTGGAATAATTTGCCTTTGAATTTGAAATGCACCAGATTTCAAATCTTTATTACTACAAAAAATATTTATGATGTCTGTCCATCTTATAGTTTATTATTTCGAAATTTTTGTTTTTAATTATGGAGTTTTAGCTTGAAACTGTTATGTTAGCTATTTAAGAAAATGATTATGTAAGAATTGTTAGGAGTCAAACTTCGATTAGCGCAAGCTATTTTTGACTTCTTTTCACCGATTTGTGAATAAATGTGAATTGAATTAAATTGAATTATGATAATCATTAATTATTTATTAATTACATAAACTAACTTATAAGCGTAAGTTATCAATATTTTTCACTTGCAGGCCCTAAATTAGCCTAAACTACCTAACATCATAAAATGCAATCAAGTTAATTTACATCATAGGCCTATAGGTGTTTATTTAGTGATTCAAATTTTATATCATTGTATTCATTATAAACAAATAAACAAATTAGAACATGTAATACACACAATACAACACCCTAATAAATAGGATATTAAGCAATTATGTTTCCAAAATAATGTCATATTGTTTTAAGTAATATTGGGTAATGTTGGTTTGTAATTAATGCTTTAAAACCTTATAAATCTGTAATTTTAGTAGATCTTAGTGTAGTGTGTAATAAAGTCAAATTTTCCTTTTTTGTCTTCTAATGGAAGTTTATAAATAAAAAAAATATAAATGAACATATTTATGATTATCATAACAACGATATTTTTATTTTTATTTTTACCTACCAATTGTCAAGTAGCCTTCACAAAGATCCCCTGACGTTTCGCTTTTGATTACGTCAAAAATGTCCTTATTATGAGCCTGTGGTAGATGATAGAAAATATAATAATAATAATAATAATAATAATAAATATAATAAAAATATTTTACTTATTATTAGAAATTTTATATGTTTTATGAAGTGCAAATATAATTATATTAAAATGTATATAGGGCATATACATAATTGAATATATACATGAGGTAAGAGACATTTTAATACAGTACACATTTACTTATATACTTTAGGCCTATATACTTATAGGTGTTCTAACAAAAGATAATTTTAAATCCAGACCTTTTTATAGGCTGCAAAAACAGCTCTCAGATGAGGATGGCTCCTGGTTGCTAAGATACGATTGAATTCTGATTCATCAGTTCCCCATTTGTCTTCACCTGCCTAAAAAGCATAATAATTTGTAGACTTGATCAAATTTTTTTTTTTTTTTTTTAGTTTATAAATTATCTTCTGAATTAAATATAAAATGAACGCAAATCAATTTGTAGAAGAATATCTTAACGTTGAGAGTCTAAGGGTTACATTTAAGATCCCTAGTAACTTTTGCTGCGTATCGCGCTACGTGCCTAAACCCATCCACTAGCAAACCACGTTCCATGGCAAGTGTTTATTAGCCCCTGCCCCCATTTCTACTAGCTTTGATCCGTAGCGCCTTACCTCGAACAACGTTTTTACGTCGTCATTCACTTTATCTTCGTCAACTATGTCACTCTCATCTCTGTTGGCCTATTAATAAGAAAAACAATAATTCAAATTCGTGTATTATTACGTACGCCAAGCAGGTTATGTATCTGTTTGTCTGGTGTCTGGCTGTCAGGGTGAATTTTTTTCGTCTGCCTCTCTCTGTGTGTGTTTGTTGGCAGGTTTACGCAAAACTAATGAACGAATCAGCATAATATTTAGTGAAGTGGATATTGATGAAAAGGTCAAGAGACAGGGTGAAGGTCACACAATTCAAAAAAATTTACAAACCTACCGTATCCCTCCATCATAAAAAAAATTAATGGAATCGCCCATAAACGCCATGCGTTATTCGTTATTCAGATACAGGGCGGAGGTATGGAGTCACCGCGCTCTAGTTAATATATTAAGAATATCGTTTTACCGTGCACATTGAAATCAATAGACGTTTGAAGTGCCCACTTGTGTCATCAGAAATATCCTTCTCTAGTTCCTTCTTATACACTGAAAAGGTAATATAATACAATATTATTTGTACGGTATGAAATTCACCATTATGTTAAATAAGCAAAGGACTGAATATAGTCGGAGAATATAGCCGGAGGGAAATTCCCTCCCCCCCCCCCACAGCACATCCCCCTTCCCTTCCTTTTTAAATTTTACAGAAAGTCGGTTAAATAGCCTTTCAAATCCCTCTGTTGTTATCGGACTTTCCAGAGGCTGTTCCCCTGGACCCACCCCCTGAGGGGTTCTGGACTGCCTCTGGCCCACCCACTTACATGTCTCTCGGGAAAATTAACCTTCCTGTTGAAAACATCGCCCCCAGGGGCGGTGCTAGCGGGGGGTCCAGGGGGAAAGGATCCCCCGTCGGGGATCTCTAGGCCTCCCGCTTGGACCCCCTGTCGAGAAATATTCAGCAAGGTCGTCGGGGAAGAGTTAAATCTTGAGCGCCGAAAGTACAATTTGAAGCATATGTCTTAATAAGCTGTCAAAATTTTAGGGATTAAAAACTGTTTAGTGCGAGCAGTGCTACCGTATGTGCAAGGTGTTATTGCGATTGTATGAGTTGCAATGATGCGCCAGCTCTTCCCCGACAGGGGCTGGTACCTCCGACAGGGGGTTAGTACCCCCGACAGGTGGACTAGTACCCCCGATATCTTTTTTAATAAAGAATCCTATAATTAACACAAAATTTTATTATCTTTTGATAAAAAAAAAAATCCCCGACAAGTTTAATTTTCCCCGACAAATAAATTTTTTCCCCTACCGGGGTGGGGGGGAATAGAAGTTTGATTCCACGACTGAGGGAGTGGACCTCCTTGTCAGGGAGTTTGGACACCTCGCCACCCCTTCCCCCCCCCCCCACTCCAGTCTGGGACGTTGGGCCCCTGATCCTCTATCGGCAAATACTGGCACCATCCAAAAAGCTAATTTGAATAATTTTTTTTCAGACTAACCTTTTTTATACATTTCTTTTATAGCTTTAATATCCTGAAATTGAAAGATGTATAATATTTAATTATCAACAAACAACATTCTTATAGTATGAAGATTAGAGATAAAATTATTTCTCAATGAAAAGAAATAAAATGTACCATTGCAGTAGCCGCTGCTACTTTTAGGGATTGGATTCAACACTCAGCCACTCGCGCAAGCTCGGTGGTCTAGTGGTAGCACAACAGGCTAGTTATCTTGAGGCGGTGGTTCGATTCGAACCTGAATCACTTGAGAGATTCGTTTCGCAAGTATTTGGAAACGTATTAATTATTTAGTACGATATTAAGTAGGGTAAAAACATCACTCATAAACTATGACTTTTCAAATTCAAGTACAGATATTTTAACGAATGTAAATGTAGTTGATAGGAATTAAGCGTATGAAACCCATTTTATTCTGCTAAGGACAGTTTTAATGATTATTCCATGTTGAATTTAAACACATAAACATAATTTCAATAGTTAAACAAATTACTTACTTTGTATAGTTTGGTAGAGCTATTACCTTTCAATTAATAATAGGCAGTACTAATACACAATATTATTTTTCTCGCCATCTACTTACACATACCGTTTCTTCATTAACTAACAGTTTGTAAAACATTTTGAATCTGAATAGTTTTCATCTATGTCTTATACATTCAGGTAAAAAATTATTTTAACATTATTACAAATCAACACAAGCTGATCTAGGTCTACAGAAAATTTAGTTTTTTTTCACATAAAATTGATAACAATGTCATTCTTTTAATAGTAATTAAGTGTTATACTTATATTTTGAGTTGTCTCAGATTTGACAAGAGACCGTACATATCTTTAAATACACTGAAAATTGGATATTGGAGAAACTAGTAATAACGCTTTGGAATAACAAATGTAGACATATGACAGAGAAATTTTTGTTACTTACGCCATTGCTTCTGGTGCAGAGGATCTCTATCAATACACTTTCATCGGTGCCGAGTCCCTATAATGTAATGCAATTTTTTTGAAATATAAAGTGACTTTTGATGTCGGAATTAAATCAAGCGATATTAAAACAGATTCCAATTACATAATTATCTTTAAGTAAATATTTTATTTTTTTATTATTTTTTTTTTTATTAATTTTTTTATTTTTTTATTTTTTTTTATTTTATTAATATTTTATCATTAGTTTTCTCAAATTTTCTTACTTAATCCTCTTCATGTTTTCCATTGTCCTCTGTCCTGGGCCAGCCATGATATTTCATTGGTTGAAAGATAATAATAATAATAAATAATCATAATAAAGATAAAGATAATAATAATAATAATAATAATAATATTATTATTATTATTATTAATAATAAATACACCACAATGAACATAGCGAAAACGATAATCATAATAAAGATAATAATAATAATAAATAATCATAATAAAGTTAAAGATAATAATAATAATAATAATAATAAATAATAATAATAATAATAATAATAATAATAATCTTATTATTATTGTTATTATCTTTATTATGATTATTTATTATTATTATTATCTTTATTATGATTATCGTTTTCGCTATGTTCATTGTGATGTATTTTTTCATTCTTACCTCCATGGCTTTATGTAAGCTGTGAACGTCGTACTCGGTCGGAGTCTGCATAAGCGCCAGTATTGTCTCCTCGTAGTTTCCGCTCAAATCATCTTTGAGGTCCTGAATCAAATCCTTTGAAAAACATATTTACGATTCAGTTTAACATACTCAATTAAAAACTGAGCTGATGTTCTCTTATAAGGCAATTGGTTACCGTAATTAAGCATATACTGATATAAAAAAAAACATTCAACATGAAGTAGTGACTAGTTTTAATGACAATACACAACAAGTACCCGGTACGGCTCATCTATTTTTACTTTTTTTAAATTTTTATTTTACGGCTCATCTATTTTTACTAACTGATAGAAAATTTACGTAAGTACTCTTCACGTCTGACCGTCAGAACAAAAAATTAGGACACAAATACATGTTGGGCTTGGATCCCATAGAGCCGTTAAAAAGTAGGCCTACTATAATTACTAATAATCTTAGACATTAATTTATGCCTCAACTCTGCGCCATCATCGTCATTGTCAAAATTTACTTACTTTTCCGTATGCTGTTTTATAGTATTCCCTGATTTCCTGTCGCTGAGCATTGGTGCGATTGGCTAGGACAGCCGTTATCTGATCCTCATCGGTTCCTGTCAAAAATAGAAATGCTTAAGTTCTAAAGAAGGGCTCAAGGAAATTTCTTGTTTGCTAATAAGTATTTAGTTGGTGTTGATAAACCAGTATGATAAACGAGCTATGGTAAGCCTGATTTCCTTAAAAAATAAAAAAAGGAGCCCCGATTCAACTGACCAATCAGTATCACCGAAAGACATGTCGGCGATAGCGTGTAGCGATTTTATGGAAACTAAACTATATAGGCATAATTGAAAACATCTTCTGGTCACAAATGTTCTATTCTATCATTTTGCAAGTGCAGATGAAAGATTTAGAATTAGTGGATATAGGATTTAAAACACTGCATTGCGCCCCCCCCCCACCCCGCCACCGTAAATCTGCATCTTAGTGCTACCACTATTCCCACCCTACCTTGCAGGGACAGATACAGGAGTTAAAGTTCAAATCAAATACCTAATGAAAACCGATGCATTTTTTTCAATCAAGTATAGATGGAGTTTTAAAGCAGAGGTTCTGTCTCACTTATTTAGGAAGCCAATTAGTAAAACTGTCAACAAACAATTAACGAGTATGTATTTGTAAATATCTTATATTTGTCGGAAAAATGAATTTTAAAACAATAATTAGTTGCCGGTAATTCTAAGCAATGAAACAACGAATAAATCCGTGTGCTATAGCCTTTAAACAAAAAAGACAGTTAAATTATTGATAGAACTGATGACTGCATCATTTATACCCGGAATATTAATTCGTTGGTAAACAATCATAACTAGGCCTACACTAGAGCAAAGCAATTCTAAAATACTGTGCCTGGATCTGCGTATCATTATTAATCATGTGAATGTGATTTTATCTTACCTAGCCCTTTCATAGCATTCTTCAGGGCCCTGGCATCTTCTTCTTTGTTGAATTTGCAATGCGCTGATCGTATAGTACCCATTGCAGCCTAATAGAAGAATTGTGTTTCAGTTTACTGTACTGATATTACGGTGTCGTTTCATGGACAGCTTAAACGTACACTGATTATTATACCAGCATAAACTGTTAAAAAAATCTTATTCATCATAACATTGGTTTATAGTGGGGTGAAAATGAGTGACAAGAGTGACTCATTAAAAAAAAAAAAAAGCTGTATGAATATTCCTTTTATTGCCTTTTATTTAATGATAATATTTATATGCGTATCGCGTGCAAAATAATTGTTGTAGAGTATGCTCCACTTGTAGCCCGCAGGTGGCTCTCAGGAATATTTTCATGAATTATTCTAACCTTATAATCTGCACTAGTGTATGATACGTAACTATATTGAATGATTAGTAGTGCATTGCGTATCGAATAACCGGTTGTCTGCTCACCATATGTGTAATTTTGTAAAGATAATATTTCTCTTTTACATAATAATAACTATTTAACCTGCTGTCGCTTATACATAAAGAGCTTATTTATCAACAATACAAAAAAAAAACAATTGAAGCATAATCAACATTCATAAAATTACATATATCCTATATTATTAATATGTAATAGAAAAATCACAAACATTCTATTAAAGCATTGAGTTTTTCATTACCCACAGTAAATTATTAACTGTTTATAAAAGCATCTAGTTCATGTATACTTTGTTACGATACGTTTTGTTTTTTACAAGAAAAACATTCCAATCAAATTATCAACCTTTCAATGAGACAGATTAGTATGCCTGTGTGCTCAAAATAATTCAGTATACTTAACTACAAACGCTTCATCTGCCAGCTAATTAAAGGGTATACGAAGAATAAAGAGCGCTATTTTGTGTGCGAAGAATAAAGAGCGTTATTATGAATACCGTACGTCTGTTAATATTAGTGGGATAAAAAAAGAACATATGAATTGCTTTGTATATTTCTTATTGCAGACGAAATTTAGCAAAATGATAGATTGCTTTATAGTTATTTATTTTTTGCTAAAATACTTTAAATTAGATATGATGTACAATAGACACTGCAGTTTGATGTACCAGGGTGCTAGCAGAAATTTCAAAATGGCCACCATATTTAAGCATTTTGACTATATAATAATTAAAGTTTATGAAATTAAACTATTTGATTGTATTCAAATGTTATCAGGGACATGCACTTTACATTTAAGCCTAAATAATATTTCACTCCATTATATTAAAATTAAGATCCAAAATGGACGCTATCTTTATCATTTTATCTGAACATGGGCCTATAGGATATGTAAGAATTTCATGTCTGGAATGATTTACAGTATCTATGCTATAGGCCCTAACAATTGTATAACCCACATTGTAGAGCCAATATATTTATAAATAATATGGAAGTTTAAAGCAATGTGAAAATATTTAGTTGTGTGACTTTAGACCACCTAATAAGCATGATAAATCGTGTCCGTAAGCAATAAAATAAAATATTGTCAATATTGGTTAATTATTGCCTAAAATGTAACCTGATAAAATAATACCTTCTTCAAACACTTTAAATATAAGCCGGCATATTTGCGAAAAGCCCACTGGGTGTTTTTTATTTCAATATAAATGTAGGCATAATATAAAAATATTGTACAATTATATTATTTACAATTGGTACTGCGATGCAAATAATACAATTGTATTATAGGGCCTACAGGTTGTACTGTTAATTGACAAAGAAGAAATGTGGTTTTTTTTTTTTTTTTTTTTTTTTTAATTTAATTATCGATTGGCAGCAAAAAGCAGAATTGCATAAAATTTACAATAAAAAATTCAATACACTAATATCTAACAATAAATACAATAAAATTCATACCGTACACGCCTACACAAAATACAATTTTTATTAAAATAATATGTCTAAAGTTATGTTTTTTTTTTTTGTTTTTTTTTTGTTTTTTTTTTTTTTGCTAGTTCTCATTGGCTGCCAAGGGGTCAGGGTTTTATCAGCATTTTGTGTCGCATATATTAACCGAGTGGATCGGAGCTTTTAAGGAGTACTGACATGTAGAAAACTTTAAAATATTTCTACTACTTAAAACGCCAATTGAACGCCAAATTTAGCGGGGTTTTTCACAGGGTGGGCCCCGGAGAAGCCTTACCCAGAGGCCTCAGACTCTTGCTACACCCATTGTCAAAGAAAACACCAGGATTACTGTATAATGACTAAATAATTCCCTCGCAACGGCATGTAAAGACAAGTAGCCCCACTGCTATCATCAATTGTGCTTGTATAGCGCATATTGCAAGAATCTCTATGAGCTTTCCAGAAAATTAGAGAAAAAAAAAATTAAAATTAGTCAAAAAGAAAAAGAAAAAGACTATAAAAAATGTTGGTGAAAGAGGAATGTCTTGAGACGGGATTTGAAGGAACTGACCGAAGGAGCCGTTCGAAACATCCCATGCTAGAAATATATAGGCCTACCGTCTGCATTCAAGTGTGGAAAAACCATAACCATTAAATACAATATTGAACACATTTAAAGATAGAATGAGTTATTAACTTTCATCGAGACACAACCTAAAATAAAACGTATAACTAATTTACAAACTTTCTTCTAATACACAAATTACCAGCCAACGTATAAACGAAGTAAATGTACTATTTATAGGCCTACAAACATATTGTTTCTCATTTTATCTAGTCTAATCATTATCTACACCAGAAATTCAGATATCGAATTTTATTTTTTATATTTTTTTTATACTCATCACAGCATAGGCCTATATATTTTAATCCATCTACTATGGGAGGTAAGTTGCAAGAAAATGAAACAAAATGTCAACATTGCCATTTTATAAGGGTTTCTCAACGAATATGGTAAGTGTATTTTCAAACATATTTTTTTCTCATTTTATTTTTCAATCGAAATCTAATACCTATTTATACAAGCAATTAACATTTTGAATTTTATTTTTTATATATTTTTAATAGATCATAAACGGTAGACCTATACAATATATGATTCCCATCTTCTATATGGGCGTTAAAAATTGGATGAGAATTTAAAAATTTAATGTCAAAATTTCCTTACCTCGCTCATTATGATCTGGTCCTAAAATCAATGAATAATTGTTATTTGATTTCTCACAACAGTATGTTTGCGGCTTTCGGCTGATGACATCTTTTATAGGAACCACGGGATTGGATAAAATTACGTGGTGGTCACATGTTGTCTATTGTTTTTTTTAAATATTATGTTATTGACTTACCAGCTTCAAATAAAAAGCTTAGCTTATCCCCAAGGTTGTTCAGATTTCACTGCTGACGAAAAGGTGTGTCATTTTCCAGACGGACTTACCTGGGAAAGGATGTCAGGTGATTTACCTAACCTAAAAAACGAAGATAATAAACATTTTTGTTAAGTTATCTAAAACCGATAGCCTATATTGTTTACAGTATTTTTTTTTTCCTTTTAATCTTATTACGAGAATTCTAAGAGAACATTGTCATATATGGTACCTTACGATATAAATAAGCTGATCAGTGCTGTCACATTAAATTATTTCTGTATACATGAATCCACGAATATATCGGGGCCCAGAGGTACTGTTATGTTATAGTACAGTTTTTCGAACAAAATATAAGTAATGTACAGTATTATATAATAGGGGTGACGACAATTGGGGCCGTGGGAGTAGGGCCCCTCGTCGGGGAGACAAACTTCGTTAGGAAGAAAACATATTATAGGCCTATGTATTTTCTACTGTACATTAATAATGTACTCTAAAATGGATTGAAGTCTTTGCAACCCTTAAATTGGCATAGTTTCCGGGGGCCTCAAAGCCTACTCCGCTTTCGAGAGATTGAGCTAAACTCGACAACGCCCATGCTCTCGACCTCGCCCATCCATCCCCTCCCATTCTCGGGAACATCGAACCCCATCGTCGGGAAAATCCTGACGCCCCCTACATGTATTTATCTTGTTAAATTTTACGATTCCAACTGATAGGACTCCATCATCAAATGTACTACAGTAGTAACATAATTTGTATAATATTGAAATACCTGAATTACTATCTAGAGGCTACAATAAGTAACGCATATTATATTTGACATAAATAAATATTAATCTTCTGGAATACCATATGTTTATGGTTGTTAATAAAAACGTCCCAGAGGCATATTACAGATGTAGTGTACTGAAATTAATATACTATTTTTGTTTAATTGTAATGTAAACATGGTGATTAAACGATATTTATATATTGGCACATGTTCAATTATATTTATTACGAAATGTTAAAATGTATAATGTAACAATGCCAACTGAATACAAAGTACATTATAACATGTAAATTTATTAGGTTGACTTTGAAGGCGTATGTGTTTGGCATAAGCCGATTGACGGTTGTGAACCACTGTTAAAATATTATTGTATGTCGATGAAAATGTACGCGAGAGCGCCGTATCATTACAGTACTAGCATTTTGCAAATATACAATAAGCTTCTATTCTAGGATCATATTTGCAATATTCTTTTCATTTTTATAAAATATAAATAATAAAATATAATTATCATCCAGCTACTAGCCACTATTAAATTTTATTGAAAAACATATACAGGTCTCCTCCTAATAAAAAAAAACAAAACTCCAATTAAAGACCAAATCTGCAGAAAGCCATGGAAACCCTCGTGGTGTTTAATTGGGCAGAGACTTGCACACCAGTACCAAAAGTAATGAGCACATATTCAATAACCCATAATCAAGAATGTAAACATCCTCGCAACAAGAGTGGTGGTGCCAGGGAGGGAGGGGTCAGGGGGAAGTGCAATTCCCCCCACCACCGTTAGACAGGCCTGGACACCCGTCATCCGACGCCACGACGAGGTCGTTGGACTGAAATATCACTTTGCCTATTTGAATAATGTTATTTTAATTGCTGATCCTTAATATTGTGGTCTAAAAGCACAGTTTTAGCCATATTTAAGCCACGAATACTCTTGTGAACCCCCCCCCCCCCGATGGCCCCCCCCCACACACACACACACCAACCAGGGATTATATTCAGACCTTGACTGTGGCTTAGTCAGCTAATTATCTTTTCTAAATTGGAAATTTTAGTGTAATAGTCAATAATTGTAGGCAAATAAAAGACAGATGATATGTTAGTGACATTGTTTTTTTGTTTTTTTTTCCTTTTGTGATTTTATTCAAGAAATGTTTGTTATGTATTTTATATGTAATTTCTGATTAAACAAGCAAACACACAGATTGTCTGTGTTACGTTTTTATGTCGGAATGAATAAAAAGAATTGAAGTGAATGGCAAAATGATAGACTATATAAATATATATATACAATTTATTACACGTAAACCGCATTTGTCTGCAAACTCGACCTATTAAAATTATATTTGGCATTCATAAAATTGTATTACGGTATTAATGATAAGCATGATTTCAAAGAAGACGACAGTGATTTTTAGCCACGGAGGCGATTGCTTTCTAAACACCATATATTTTGTGAACAAAACATGAAAAGGTTTGTGACATAACTCAACTTAGGGCTTGTTCCCCCTCCCCCATTCCTTTCCCTCTAAAATTTATAAATGTCATTGGATACCAATGTCATATATTGAAAGAAGGAAAAATGTCTGCCCCCTCTACCGTTTGAAAAAAAAATCAAGATCAGTCCCTGCACCTGCATCATTGAATATATTTATTTACTTATTTGTTTATTCTTCAAATTCGACATATCATGATAAATATTTGTACGAAAAAGCTTAAAAAAAGAAGACCTTGCCCAACGTAAACGAAAAAACAACACCAAGGTCTCTTAATCAGGCATTTCGATTTAAAAAATGGCCAGAAATGGCTCTGCGTTAAAACATGGTAATTGGTAATAAACAGATCTAAAGAATTTTGGATTAAATGATTATTCGTAATTATTCGTAATTACAAGATCACAGCTCACCAAGGTCGTTAATCGATCATGTGAGTTCAGGTAACAAGGCAATGTCAAATATATTAAATATACGGGTATGCATAAATACCGACCTCCTTTAAGTAAACACAATATGAACTAGGCTTGTCTGTTTAAACAACAGAACATAGGGCTTTTCCCCATTGATTTAATGAGAAATGAAGTTGAACTTGCAAGAAAAAGAAAAGTTGTTAAAAAGTATAAAGCAAAAATTTGACAATTTAGGGGTTTCAAAGGCTTAAGTATTAATCGATTTTGGAGTCTACTAATATGTACAAAATACATATATTTTTCTTTTCTCTCCGACAAGTTGTGTTTTTCCCCGACAGGGGGCCAGCTCCCTCCGACGGAGGAGGGCACTGGCCCCAAACCCCCTGGCGCCACCCCTGGTCGCAGGTTCGAATCTTGTCAGAGGCATTTTAGTACACAATGTATTTATTTATTTAGTATCGTTGAGAGCTATGCTACAAAGTGTATTATTATGTCCTTTATTAGAACACTGTATACCTTTCTTTGATGATTATATATATATATGTATATGTATATAATATATAATGAGAATTTGATTCACGTTGAGAAAGTTCTGAGGACAGGACGAAATATTCGTGTGCAACAAAATACTTATGTTCCTCCAATACGTCAACCGTTTCATTTGATTTTATCAATGTCTCTATTCTGCAATTGTAGGCCTACTTTTAGTTGATGGCAGTAAAAATATATGCTAAGAAATTATTATATAACAATTTATATTAGTGCTATCTGGTATTTGTCGATTGATTTGAGGCAAGGAGTGTTATAGCACCTCCTATTATCTGTAGGATGTTATCAGTATCGTTCATGTTTAAAACACTATTATAGCATTGATGCCTATATCAATAATAGTAATAATAATAATAATAATAATAATAATAATAATAATAATAATAATAATAATAATCACAATCATCATCATCACTATCATTATCATCATGCGCTTACCATCTGTCCAATATGTAAACAACCTTCTCTCGACTCTCCATCCAAGGTGTGGGACCGGTTCTACTTTGAAATCTGGTGGCGCCAGTCAAGGTATATTGAAAGTTGTAACCAACCAAGCCACATTCTTACTTTTAATAGTTAAATGTGTTTGTAATTTTTTTGCCAACATTCTCTTACAATTTAACACAAATGGATATACAGTTAATTTGGATAATATATTTTATTTGCAAATATTGGGAAAACTAAATCACGAAGACGAATCAAAATTGGATAATAGATAATTAAATGTTAAAAAACAATACAAAGAACTACAACCAAGAATAACAATCAGTTTAATTTAAAAGCCATATCAACTGATATTGAAATTATTTTAATTTTGCAAACGTTTATAATAATTTCAATTTAATTTGTAATAATATATTTAGTCAGAGATTAAGTAAACGATTGTTAAGTTAATATACTTCAGTAATGTCTTACAATGTTAAACCTATACTGTCTCGTATCCTGTCGCCATATATGGGCTCACATTTAAATAATGAATCCTTTTTGTGTGTTTAAAATGAATTATTTTAATTATCATCTAATATACAACCACAATTAGGTATGCTTTAACTGCCTATTCCTGACCGAAGCAAATTTGTCTTAAAGTTTGGTTTTTAGAGAAAAAAGAATTGTTAGAAAGATGTGGGTCAGCAATATAAACTGTAAATCGTTTTCAGTTACCTCGTCCTATAGGCCTAGTCTTTTTAAATCTGAAAATCTAGTGACAGTACGATACCCTTCCAGGAGGATTTAAGTTTATTTATTACATTCTTCATTGCAGTGTTGCCAGTGGAACGAGTAGTGGTGCGCATGGCCCATGATAAATGTTTGTGATGTCGTCTGCAAGATCTCGATTGTATATCTCCTGATATTTGAGGACCGTTTTGCACAAACTAACCTATGGAAACAATTAAATAAATCTGGTTTAAACCTGGGTGGAGATATGGATTGGTAGATTGATTAGAGAGATGTGATGCACATCGGAAAAAGTTCCGATAAAAAAGCTAATATAATAATTAAATTGGTAGGCCTTAATATGTTAGCCTTTTTCTATTTTTAGCCATTAGAACACCCTCTTAACAGCCCCGACCCTCACCCGAACCAGGTTTTACGAGCATAAAAAGCAATGCATTAATTATGTTGCATAAATTAAGCCGAGCGCCCAGTGTGTCGTACGGCGATCGTACGACCGCCGTAGGCCTACGGGAATCCAACTCCGCTGCCTGTGAGTGGTAGACGACTCAACACCGTCTGTATTAGTTGCTTCAATTGGATTTGCATTCCTGCTGAATTCGCTAAGTTGTCTAAGGCGTCTGCATAGACAGAAGTGTGTCCCAGGTTCGAATCCCAGTTGAGGAATGTTTCACACTCGAAGATTCCTCTTCTTTAACGTTCGAAATTTATATATAATTACAACATTACCGCAAGACGGTTTAGGATTTATCTCTTAATAATATTATTATTATATTATTACATCATGAATTTATATACCTTTGCACAATCTACCAGTGTTCTTTCAACTGCTTGTTCATCAAGCGTCGTACCGGTTGCAAGACCCAGTGCGAAGAAAATTTTCACGGCGCAGAATTTTTCGTCGTCACTGATATAATCAACTGAAGTAACAGTAGTAGAAATTATTATAATGGTTATATAAAGAAATTCATTATACTTCGTTTCATAGACAATCATCACAGCTAGGTGTATTATATTAGCTTAAACATAATGAACGTAAATGCTTTATAGTATTTAAAAGTATTTGAAATGAAATAATGCGGTAAATGAAAAGCAGGAAAACAATATTGTATAGTAATGAATTTTAGAAACATAACAAATTAAAATAGCATAGTCTGCGTTTCAACTTTTAGGAGAAATCGCAAAAAGAGAAAAACCTTTGTAAACTCGTTGAAAAAACCCCTAACTTGTATTTTTACCAGTGATGTCATCAAAGAATAGGCATAACTCCCTATTCTATACCCGCACCCTTCGTTCT